TCCTATGTATTCTGGATTATTTTGTTAGATTTTCTCCCCTTTCTTAGATTGCTTGTTTGTATCTTTATTGAATTGGGTAACTTATCAGGCCCAGTCCCATTCCTCTCACCTCTAAAAATACTCCAGTGAGTTCTCTCCACAGGGAAGTCCACTCAATAAGGGAAGTGCAAGTGAAAAAATGTTCCCATAGTAATGGGACACCACTAGTTGCAAAATTACACTCTAGCCCAGCAGATGGCAGTAATACGTTGCCTGTATAATTAAGTGATGTGTTCACCTACGTAATGCGTAAACACGTCAGTCACAGTGTGTTTTTGTTCCCAGTTTTCGTACGTTTGGAAATGGCAGATCCAAGAGTTATTTTACCTATTGCTTGGGCACTGATGATCTTTCGCTGTTTGGTCAACCTACAGAGAATAAATGTGAAAAACCGAAGATGGCTCTGCCGCTATTTTCCCCTATTAATCTGTTTACAGTATGTGAACTCATTTATTAAGATAATATGTTGCTTTCATGTTCTAGAATTCTTTTTTTGGGAGGAGGGCAGGGTCCTATACACTATGGGAAATTTCAATAAAGGAAATTCACAAATTTTTTTCTTGGTAATTATTTGGTAGCGACTGATTGCAAAAACCTGACATATTGTTTGTATGGCTGTAAAAACTTTGTATTGGCAAGCATCACACATGTAAAAATCATGCCATATGACAGTTACTGGGTGTGTGCTGTGCAGTAAGCAAGCGCAATGACAATTATGCATAACATTATACCATCTATGCTGCTATAGTGACCATGGCAATTTCACACGTCAAGACAGAAATGGTGATAACATGATTTTGTTAAATTTTGTCATGCTTAATCATTCTACTTTACAGCTCTCTTGGTAGATTTTTGTGCTATGAAATTTTGTGATTTTGCAATATTCATGTTTTAAGAGAATGGTATTGAATTAAATTGTATTTACGTCTAACTAAGATATCTCAACAAATATTTTTTTAAATACGTGGTTAATTGTAAAAATATACTTACATTTCTGCAGTTCTTTTCCAAAGCCGGAGGTAATTTTTCCTTTTCCTGAATGAGTACTCGGAAGCCACTTCGTTCCAAGTCAGCTCTTGACCACCCTCCGTCTGCAGGGATCATTTCAAGGGTTGAAGGGCACTTCCCCCTAGCTCTTAAAATAATTGGGACACAATACCCTTACCTGTGAAGGCACAAAACCGGGTGCTAGGGCTCAAAACAAGTGCAAGTGATAGAATTGGGACAGAGCTTTAGTCTTCCACCTTAACTCTCTGCTTTCAACTCGTCTCACCTGCTTTGCATTTTACCCTAATAACTCAAACCTCCATTTTATGTCATCTGGAACCCTGAATTAGGGCTTTAATGGGTTGTGATTTTTCAAAGTCAACTATGTTTAATTTCAGGTTCTCCAGATGCTAGTTGACTAAGCCTAGTTAAGTCAACTTTTTGGCCAATGCATCTGTATTTATTCTCCTGAATGTTATTTTTTCTTGTCTGGATTCCTCTGCTTTGCTACCTCATTGAGCAATAATTTCTAAGCCTTTCTATCCACATTGTTTTGCCCACGTTTCTGCTTGTATTGTGGTAGTTCTCCTCATGCTTGACTGTAAGTTTTTTCTAAATTATGAAATCATTCCCACCCATCATACTGCTCCTGAATCCGTCTGAAATTTGGTCCAGAAATTCCTTATTAAAAACACTACAAAAAGGTTAAGAAAAAAAATAAATTCAGGAATCTAGTGCAGCCAAAGGTCAACTTTCCCATTTATAAAAGTCTACCTACAGTGCAAAACGTGGTCCATCTTTTGACTCTTGTTAAGATCCATGCAAGCACTCACACAGCCAGTTTATTTGACACATACAAGCTCTGCTTGGGTGACCTTTATCTGAGAACTTTAACAGTCCCTTAATGCCACTTTAGAAAAGTCGGTAATCATCAACGACCTTGCAGTTAGAGGGGGATGAACTGTTTCTGACAGAGAGCTGCATACCTTATGTCAATTATAAATTTATCCAGAGCTGGAAATGTGAAGTGCATTTTGTGCTATTCTCCCTAAATTTCTTTATGCATGAATTTTAATGTTCACTAATAAATGTACAGCAGTTCAACCTACTGTCTTCTTGCCCCAACCACACACGCCATCCTGTGTATCTGTAGGTGCAATGCTATCACTGGTAGGGTGAAGTCAAGGCAAATGGATGAATTCTTTGAAGCCAGAGTAACCAAACAGCGGGGTGATTAATAACAGCCACCCTATTACCCTCTGCACACAGATGGGATGTCAGGTTGAAGGTTGATGGAGAACAACACAGTGTGGGGTATTACACCCTGTCGTACAGATTAGTGTTTGGACTTTAGACAGCACCTCTTACACCTTCACCATGCCGCCTTGCACTATCTATATCCTTCAGGTATCCTTCCACTGCTGTCCATGCCATTTGTCATTGTAGCGCCACCTGAAAACTCCTCTTAAAACAGGTGGAGGTTGTCTTTTTACAGTTTTTTGATGATTTATGAAGTGCTTGGTTTGATCATGTAGTTGGTTTAAATATTTGAATTCAATGCCACAGCACAAAGTATTTAATACCCTTGAACTTTTCACATTTCATCCTGCTTTTTACATATCAAACCTAAACATCTTTAGTGAGCATTTGTTTTCAGAATTCCATTATTCTAATACCACAACATAAAATGCTGGACAACAAATTGGCTGAACCACTGAGTAAATGGAGGCCAATTGTGTGTAATTCAATTTCAGAGTAAATAGAGCTCTTCTGTAAAGCCCTCAGTGTTTTTTTTTTTTTAGAGAACATTAGTGAACCACAGTATTGTGGAAACCAAGGAACACTCCAGGCAGGTCATAGATAAAAGTGTACAGATGTTCAGTGGAGGATTAGTTAGAAAGAAAAATCTTTAGGCTTTGAATACTTCAGATCACTGTTCAATCGATTATCTCAAATTGGAAAGGGTAGCAAACCTCTGCAAACCTGATGGTAGTCCATGTAAACTGATGAGCATGGGAAAGAGAGCATTCATCAGAAAAGCAGCCAAGAAGGCCGTGGTAACTGTCGAGCGGCAGACATACACAGCTCAGGTGAGAGGATATGTTGACAACGCAACTGCCAGACTACCTGTTTTTGCATAGATGTGGCTCCAAAAAGTGAAGTAAGCTATTTATGTTAAAAGAGAAAAAACAACCTTAAATATAGGGGGTGGTCTCAGGTTTCATCTCTCAAAAACCTACAACGCAGCAACAGTTCATTCCTTCCCACGATTACTCAACCCCTATCATGATGCATTGGACAAAAACATCTTGCCTGGTCCGCCAGGCCAACAATGACCCTAATGTCTCCCTATTACTAAGGGGCAGACTTTTTTTTCCAGGTCAATTTGCATGTTTTCTAAGCCATAACAAAGCTTTGTTGGGCTACTTTATAAAGCTTGGAACTCAAGACTAATCCAGACATTTTGAAATGAAAAAGCTTCCTGGATGAGAAGTGAAACATCTTAAACTTGGAAAACAAAGTCCTGTGGTTTGTTTTTTCACTTTTTTAAAAACCCAAAAAGATGGCCCTTTTACAGAGAGAGGACAAAGGACGTCTTTGAGGAATTTCCTTTATAAGTTTGCCACAACACACAGCTAAAAGATAGCAGAATCAGTTGTCATTGTTGGACTGTTTTTATCTACATGTAAACTGTCGTGTAGCAGTGAGCACTTGAGATTTCTCTACACATGCCAGTAAAACAAAATTGTGTTTTGAACATGAGGTTTTTTGAAGATACTTCTCAGGAAGCCTGTCCGTTAAAGAATTAGAGAGAATTGCGATGGACTGGCGACCTGTCCAGGGTGTACCCCGCCTCTCACCCGTAGACACCTGGAGATAGGCACCGGCACCCCTCGGGACCCCACTTGGGATCAGCTTGTTAGAAAATGGATGGATGGAGTAAAAGACCAATATTTTTGGTTTAAAATATAGCCAGGTGTTACAAATGTCTGGTCAGAGTCCAGATCTAATTCCAAAAGAGAAACTGTAGCAATTATGATATAATCTGCAAACATTTTGTTTTTCAAATGTGAAAAACTGATAAAGATGTATTCCAAAAGGCTTCAAGCTGAGGCAAAGGGTCTCAATACAAATGCACCACCTCCTCATTAGATTTAATTTGTAAAAAGGTTTTGTTTTTCTCACTCTACAACAATGCAATACTTTGTATTGGTCTGTCATATTAAAGACAGAAATAAATTTTGTAGCTGTACATAAAAACACCAGGGAAAGTTTAAGTGGCATGAATACTTTTGCAAGGCACTTTTCTGGAGGAAATAGCCGCTGTAAGAATCTAAAGTTGAGAGTACACGTTTTAAATGACTATTTTAATGTAAGCTATATTCATCAAAATAATAATAATAAAAAAAAACATTTATTAGAACAAATTTCAAACAAAACATTACAAGTATTTGTACAGACTTTGAACCTCTTATTCAGAATAGACAAGTCTTGTAAGAAGCTATTTTAATTTATGCACAAAACACAAGCAAACATGTAGAAGAAGTTAGTTGAAACTGAGGCAAAAGGAACCCAATAGAAAAAACCCAGTAAGGTTACGGTACATAGATGGCACTGAAGCTGCTGCTACCCTCCACCTGTTCATCTAATGCCAATAACATCCTGCTTTCACAAACATATTTAACTCAGAAGCTAAAGAAATAGTAAACACTGTCAAAATTCAAAAACAATGTTTGTTTGTTTTTTTGTTTTGTTTAGTTTTCTTTTACAAAATATTTATAAAAAGTACAATGGTAACAACTTAATTCATTTCTGTGAATGCTCTCAAATAACTGGCAAAACATAGACACAATTCTGTTTTCTTCTAAAAAGATAATCTCTAAATGCTTAAAACAATGAATGAATGCATAGAAAATCTAGACAGAGGCTTCAAACATAATTTTCTGTACAAAAACACAAAGAAAGGGAAAATCTTTTTTTTTTACACTGATAGCTTGCTTTTTTAGCTGCTGGAAAAACAACAGAACAAAGTAAAACAATAGGATAAACTATGTTCACAGACATCAAATATCTACATCCTGATTCTACGACTGGAGCTGGACACTGATCCAACTGTCAGATTGAACATTGCTGTTGTAGCAAATGTTAGAAACCATTGGTCATTCCAACAGAAGACTTGCTTTAAGACTTCTGAAGCTAATCCCATAAACAAGAGCAGCATAAAAAAACTGTCTCTGGAACCCTGGAATGTGATCCATCATGCAAATTGCAGCGGAACAACAAAGCAAACACATCAGATGAAGTCATGCAAAGCAATTTGTAGTCCTCTTCCATCATTACACATACAGGGCTGTCTTAGGGGGCATCAGAAAAAAAACAAAAAAACCTTAGATGGGATGACACTCCCCAAAGTGTCTGCAGCAACGGAGATCCAGTTGTTTATTTCTCTTTTGTGAGTCCAAATTTTCCAAATGTACCCCAAGGCACCAGAGAGAAAGTAGGCATTTCCTTTAGTGGGCAAAACCAGAGTGTGTTTTCATTACATACCAGCTGCCATCGAGTTTCATAGTGGGACTGAACCACATACATAATCTTTTACAGATCTGATGCAAAGCACGAGGAGTGTTGAAACAGTCATAATTGACAACAGGGTAATGATCTCCACTAGAAAAGTCTGGGGTTAATAGTCATCATAGGTGTTGAGATCAGAGAAGTATGCATTGGTATATGTCTTCCCGGCAAGCTGTGGGTTGAAGTACTTATTCCTTTCCTCCAGAATCAGATTATTTTTGTTGAAACCCTGCAAATAAAGAAAAGAACAAAAATAGATGGAGAGGAGAAACGGATAGGAGTCAGTATGGGCCTTTTTTTGTGCAACTTATGGATCAAGTGATTAATCAGGCCAGATGGCAAGGTAAAAGTAAATCCAAAGGAGCAACATAAATCAATGGGAGACTGCTCAGTGAATGTAACATACATTTCACAGAGCAAGGTCAGAGCATTTGCAACAGGCTGGAAAAAATGAGTTCTCACCACAGGGCTAAATTATTGTGATGCACATCCGAATGTCCACCTCTGTCATCTCTAATACCCAGCATCAGCGGTTTTTATGGCCCTTGGATTGTCGGTCCTCCAGGACAATCAAAGCCATAAAAATCGATCAAAGGCGAGTCTCATTTCTGTTAAACAATAAGGAAGAACCAAGGGGGGTAGTGGTAGGGGGGGCATCTTGTCTGTCTCTGCATGACGCAGTAAACATGGAACAAGCCTCTGATGTGCTGCTCAGTACAACATCAGCAATTTGGCAAATAGATGTGTTCATATCCAGTCTGCTGTAGTGGGAAGCATGATAGGAGTCCCTTGGGGCAGTGTAATTGAACACTTGATGATGCTGCATTTACAGCTGATGGATGTTTCAGACGAGTGTACTGGGCAAAAAAAAAAAGGTATATTTTGCTGCGTTCCCGTTATGTGATTTGCAAACAAAGGAAAAACCATCAGCTTTCCTGCAACACCAAAGACGTGCATCTCTGCTAGTGTCTGCTTGGCTGCCTTTAAACCGATTTGTAGCAATATGTTTAAGCATCATCTACTGTGTCTTTTGAATTAAACATATTTATAATATTCTTAAAAATGATTAAATTAGAGTTTTTGGTGCAGCTGAAACAATTTATCTTAACAATAAAGTGCTGATAGTGATAGAGAGGTAACAGAGGAGGTTAAAACACCGACATAACAACAAGACTTCCCTCTCAGCCCATTAATTAAATGAATAATTAAAAAATATAGCATAACGTGAAGGACAAACAGAAAAACATGCAAATGTAAGCACAAAAAGGGAGGAATACACTGCCTTCTCGCCAGCTGTGAGAGAGAAGGGAGGCAGCCATGACGGAAGGATGAAAGGAGTCAGAACAGAGGAAGAGAAACCAGAGTGCTGTCCTCCCAACCTGCCACGCACAGGAGGTGGAAGGATAGGGCACATTGGGGAAGAGGAAGAAGTACTGGATGATGGGTCAAAGAGTTGTTTGGGTTTGGTGTGGGGAGTCAGGAAGCGGGATGTTGTTGAGGTCAGGAGGTTGGTTAGTAGAAAATCTCCAGTCCACGCATAGAGACCCCCATGTTAGCAGAGAGAGGCTGGTGCATTGCAGGGTCGTCCAGAGGCAAGAGAACCGACACGTCTGGCTGCAGGAAGGAGAGGAATGGGCAAGAGTCATCCTCAAAAAAAAAAAAAAAAAAAGTAAAAGGCATAATCTAGTTGTAGTTTTTCTTTCTGTTCTTATGTTTGGTGTTGTACTTGCTCGTAATAACAATAATATTATAAAAAATAGTCAGAGAACTTATGTGAGTTATGCATAATTCAAGTGATGTATAATCTTGATGTAAAATTTAAAAAGAGCAAAACCTATTAAAAGCAGAATTAAAGATATAATAAACTATGCATACGTGTAGTGCTGTGACAAAGTATTTGCCCTTTAACAGATTTTTTTTCCTGGCACAGGTTTTCATCCAACCCATTTTGTCAAATCCTGAAAGACCTATCATTTACCACATTTTGGGAAAGCTGATTTTTCTTGCTAAATACTGCTAAATCCTCACAAAATCCCTTCAGAGTCTGTCTGACTACATCAAGTATGTAAAAATCGTCAAAAAAAAATAGCAACATATCAGGCTTAAATCTAAAGAAGTTCAAGAAGCAACAAGAAAAAAAGTCCTTTATGCCTTTCAGTGTGAAATGGACTAACTTCTCACCCATGTAAATAAAATAAAAATAATAAATAAATA